GTAATGCAAAAGCTCGAAGAGCTGGAAAGCAATGCCAGGCCACTGGCAGTAACTGGCTCGCGAGGAGCCGCAATAAACCCACATTGTGCCACAATGGGGTTGCAAGGCAAATCCAATGCAATTGGCAACAACTGGCTCGTGAAGAGCCGCCACTAGCGAAGCAAGTGACCAGTTAGGAGCGATAGAGCTAAATGTTCCCTAGTACCATTAGCAAGATGATAAGATGGGAGGGATGGAGGGTGAAATTTTGATGCTGGCACAAGCTAAAAGTCACCACTAATTAGACTAGTCTTTGAAGTGAAGCCAACAGCAAGAAAGAAAGAGAAAGTTCAAAGGAAGCAGTTGTACGACGTCAGGCTAAGCGCGCCTGAATCCATGCGCTGGCAGTGTGAGTGCACTGAGCAAAAGTTCAAAGGAAGCAGTTGTGTGACGTCAGGCTAAGCGTGCCCAAATCTATGCGTTGGCAGTGTGAGTGCAGTGTGCAATGCACTGATGCAGCGGTGCGCGGCAGATGCAAACATGGCAGTGTGATCGGTGGATGCTAACACACACTAACTACATAACTGCGACATTAGCACCATATCCCTCAATCATCGCCAGGTAGCGAAGCATAGCATACACAGGGCAGTAAGGGCGACCGGCCGGTCCAATGACAATGTGGACTCCCTTTCCAAATTGGTCTGTCTTTAATTAATCTCTTTAGCAGGATTGTCATGCTGCCCGACTCAAATCTGATACACTCTCTTGTAAGGCCCTCTGTAAATTCGGAGCACCTTAGGAAACCAAAGAATGCCAACAGCACAGCAGACTTGAAGAGAACTCGGTCATGCTCGGGCAACACTGGGAGGTGATCACAGGCATCGACTAATTTCCTGAGAGTTGGCATAGTTATGGGCAATCTAGGCTTTACTGTCTCGTTCCCATGGCACCGTTGAACACCCTTCAACAATCTCTTGAGAAGCCAGGTCTCGATCAGGGGATCCTCTAGACCCTGTTCAAAGTGTGCATTCCGTACAGCTTGCAAATAAACAGATATCGTGCAAGGGCGGGCAGAGCGAGCAAGAAAAGCGTGAAAGCAGCTGAGGGTAAGATCAGAAGCTGGGTAAGGTTGCAGATTGCAAAGGGAGCAGAAACTGACAAAACGACGTTCACCGGCAGAGTAGGTGTGTCTGGTATTAGCAGCAATTGCACAGGCAGCGTAGTTAGTGAATTCGCTCACAAGACTGCTGGAAGACGAGCACGGTCTGGACTCGGCCGGGCTAACGGAGCAGGACGTCAAAATTCCTGCAAAAGAAAACGAGAAAGGCAATCTGCAATGACATTCTTGGAGCCAGCAATGTGCACAGCACTAACATGAAAGTTGAACTCATAGCAAACGAAGAACAGTTCGCGTAGCAACTTCATCACAGCGGGGGCTTTGCACGTGCCCGAACGGATGCGGTCCACTACCGCCGAGTTGTCGCAGTGTACCCGAATCCGGAGCTTAGCCCATTCGTCGCCCCATGTGGCGCAAGCTGCTACGAGGGCGAACATCTCCTTCCACTCGATAGACTGCAGCATCTGGGCACTGTTCCATGAACCTTGAATCCACTTCACGTTGTTGTAAGCACCCCAGCCGTGAGTGCCACTTGCATCTGGGTATAGCTGGAGATCTGGTGATGGGGTCCAGTTAGGGTGCAAGAAGAAGGACTTACCGTTCCACTCACTAAGTAGCCTCATCCACCATAGCAGGTCATCCACGCATTCTTGGGTCAAAGTTATTGAGTAGTGTGGTTGCTGAAACCGTGAGCAGACGGATCACAGACGACGCATGAAGGTACGGCCTGGAGTGATGACACGGGCAGCAAACGAGAGCTTTCCCAATAGGGACTCGAGTTGGCGTTGGGATATCTTCCGGCTGTTGATCGTGCTGGCCAATAGCGATCGGAGGTCGGTGAGCTTGTCCATGGGGAGCCTGGCCTCGAGCCGCTCGCAGTCCAGAATAATGCCGAGGAACGTCAGTGATCTCGCGGGACCTTCCACCTTTGCTGGCGCTAGCGGCACGCCCAAATAGATGAAGGCCCGCAGCAGGATTGCTAGTTGACGCTGGGCGACAGTATGGCCAGTTGTGACATTTAGGAAGTCATCCAAGCAGTGGAATAGGTCGGCAATGGAGAAATGGTTCCGGATTATCCACTCTATGGCCGAGGCAACGGAATCGAAAATGGCTGGGATGGAGCGAAGCCCAAACGGTAGTACCCGCTCGTAATGGTAGCTGCCTTGCCAGAATATGCCGAGTAGTGAGTGGTCTTCAGCACGAACTGGGATTTGCCGGAATGCACTTTTGATGTCCAGCTTTGCGAGGTACCCCGGCTGAGGTGAGGACATAATAGACTCGATTGCATCGTCAATACTGATGTAGTGCAGGGAAAACTGGTCAGCTGGAACTCCGTCGTTCACACTATTACCGGCGGGGCTAGAGAGATGGTGAATCATACGAAGCTTGCCGTTCTTCTTCGGTACCGCACCGACACCAGAACAGCCCATGAAGGTGAACGGGGCTGCACTAAAAGGACCAGCAGTTTTGCCACGCTGGCAAGAAGCATAAAGCTGGTCAGAAATAAAGGAGGCACAAGCAGCAGAAGATTAGCAGACTGGACAGAAATGTCGCGTGAAGCAGTGAAACCTATGCTAAAGCCATAGCGCAGCCCGTTTAGCACATAGGAAGCAAATTCTTTATCGGGGTGATGACGCAATAGAAGCTCAAAATGAGAGACATGCAAAGGGGTATGTACAGAGGAATTACTGATGTGAGGGGGAAGAAAATTATGTACACATGCAACAGTTATTGGTTGCTCAGGCTGGGATTGCAATCCCGAACTACTGGGCTGGTCGCTGACCTTTGCCGGAACACTTGCTGCAGGGTTGGTCCTTGCCACAGCGGTTGCAGATGTGGGCGAACCGGCAATTTGACCAGGTACACTTGCCAAGGTTGAAGTTTCGGCAGATGACGGCACCTGAGTTATTGCGGGCGAGCAGTGAGGATGATGTTGTTTGAGCTTGGTGTGCATGTTTGGGACGAAAAGGACACACGTTGCTTGCAGCCGCTGGGTGGACAAGGCTGCACGACTGACATCTATGCCTGGCCTTGCCTGTGATGCACAGCTGCCATGTATTTATGTCAATCGCATCAAAGCGTTTGCCGGGTGGTGAAGCGACAAGCCTTCGAAATTGCTGGTCACACATAAGCCAAGCCTCTGCAAAATACTGCCTGTTGGCCGCCAAGATCATGCACTGGTATGACTGGAGTTCTGCTGTGCGGTGGGGTGCATTGCTGATCCCAACATGCATATACAGAGACCATGCTTCTAGCCAAGTTGCGATATCGTGCACACGTCTACGAACCGGGCGAGTGGTGTTCACCTCTACGACTTCCAGTGCACCCCCGGATGAACTGGATCTGAGCTCGAACGACTTATTGCTATCAACTGCCCCCAAGGTCTCGGACAACAATTGGTCGAAGTCCACAAACTCACCTCTCAATATCCTATCCTGCGCCGACTTTGGGACGTGCAGATTTCCAGCATGAGGCGGTGTGGAGTACGCAGCACCCACGCCAATGTTGGAGGATGCAGATGGTGGCGCTGGTGCCGCACTTGGCTGCGACAGAAGAGAGGCTCCAATCTCGTCTGTGATGGCAGAACGAACTTCAGCCCGAATAAGTTCGCGAATACCAGTCGGATCCAAGGTGACCGGGGGATCGGCGAGCACCTCGCATGTATCCACAGTGGGTTCGGCAGAGTCGGTTGCTGAAGGTTGAGTTGGACCCAGGTTTTCTCGCTCCATGTCGTCCAGCAATCTCTGAACCAGAATGGATTTCTTTCCGGTGGTCAGCAGACCTCGATCGTCCAGCTCGGCTCGCAGTTCTGCCACCCGCATCCGATGCACAATAGACGACATTGTTTCAGGCACCAACAGTACGAGCTGAACACAATCGAAGCATCTGGCTAATTAGTTACTCAAAGCTACCACAAGCTAGGAGCCAAACTGAGAGAGCTGGAAATTTTGATGCTGGCATAAGCTAAAAGTCACCACTAATTAGACTAGTCTTTGAAGTGAAGCCAACAGCAAGAAAGAAAGAGAAAGTTCAAAGGAAGCAGTTGTACGACGTCAGGCTAAGCACGCCCGAATCCATGCGCTGGCAGTGTGAGTGGACTGAGCAAAAGTTCAAAGGAAGCAGTTGTGTGACGTCAGGCTAAGCATGCCCAAATCTATGCGCTGGCAGTGTGAGTGCAGTGCGCAATGCACTGATGCAGCGGTGCGCGGCAGATGCAAACATGGCAGTGTGATCAGTGGATGCTAACACACACTAACTACATTACTGCGACATAAACAAATAATGTAAACATTCCTTATTGGAGGGTATAATGCCCCAATCCCTGAAAAGGCCAATAAACTGGCAAAAGTATGTACAAATGGTGCACTCGTGCATGCAGTGCAGGTCATTTTTTGTAAGATACTGATAGTTCCCGGTTATAAGTCGAATCCCGGTTGTAAGTCGACCACCACACTTTCTCCTTCTATTTTTAGTCGTAAAAGGTCGACTTACAACCGGAAAAATAGGGCACGTGCCACGCTCCCATAAAAAAAATCAAAAACTCTCTCAGGTTGCTACTAGCCCACCTACTTCTGGTGCATGTGTGGTTACATCATACATTTTTCAAGTACCAGAGAGCCGCAGGCGGCTGTGCCCCAAAGAGAATATTTTTCGATTGTTGATTTTCCAGGTGGAATGTAAACCTGAAATCCTCGAGTGCACAAGTGCAATGTCGTGATTTTCTACTTGTATGACGAGACATCAATACGCATGTGAAACTCATGTACAATAGCTGCCCAGTACACGAGAAAGCAGGCATGCACAGTGGATTGGTCTAACACCATGATTGAGAAATGAGAGGTACCAGGTGATTCAAGTCCTGCTGGAAGCGGAAGGATTTTTCCAACCATGCTGCGACCCACAGTTAATTGGGAACTCGTGACCTGCCATGAGTAAAACATGGATGTGGCAAATGGGATTTAGGCCTTTGGCCTCTGGTTGGTGGATCTGATCTATCCTCCCCCACCGTTAGGAGCCGCATCTGACGTCTGATCATGGGGTGGTGGCGTCCCACGGAAGCGGAAAGGTGGTTCTTGACCAGGGAGTTGTACGACTCCTTGTTCTTGACCTGCCCGGTACGCGAAACCGTGGAATATTTTTTATGTACACGAGAAACATCTGGTGCGTCAGAGCATTTTGACATACATATTGCGTTGTGGGTTCATATTTGGATAATTGAATGTCCACACATTTGGTATTGCACTAAGTCACACTGTCTTGTCAACGGGCTTTAACCTTTTGAGCATGAAGAACGAGTATACTCATTTTTTAAGTGTATCTGGATTCCTTTAGACAAGGACACTCCACTGTCCTCTCTTCGATTGCCAAGACGGAGAGCTCGTTGAAAAGCTGATAGAATAAGCTTTCTAACGATGTGTCGTTTGATATGGCACCATGAAGACCCATTGAGCGCCAAAGAATGAAATACGAATAGCCTTCAACCTGTGTTCAAATTCTGTGCGTGGCGAGCAGCAGTGCTCAGACGGGGACATACTCTGTGTCGCAAGGTTGCATGGCGCTTGCATAGTGGGGATCAAATGATTGCATCAGCTTCAGGAACATACAGGACTTTGAAACACCGTTCTACGTTGAGTAAAACTTGAGAGCTAGTGACATTTGTGGATGCGGCTAAAGGTTCTCACTCAGGCGCAATGGGGCAGCTCTCAAAAGGCATGAACACAATGCACTCTTTTGAACAGTCTGGTAACTTTCTGTTTCCCTATTCTTGCTGTAAAGATTCGTTCCTTTCAAGCCAGCTACGTTCAAAGTTCAATGTACACGAATCGTCACAATACCGTCGGCTCGTCACAATAGACTAGCCCCCATTCAGAATGAAGAAGAGAACGAGGTATCACTTTGGTCACACAAAATATGTTTTCCCTCCAATACAATGTCATTCTGTACAATAAGAATGGTATTGTGGTGCTCACAACATTCCCCGTTTGCCAGAAAGGAAATAAAACATTTGACTGCCGTTACTCTACACAGGGCCATACCAATTCCGACCAGATTTCAACTCACAAGTATTTAATTAGGGATCAGGAAAATTCATATTCCTCCCATAAACAGCATCAACTAGTACGGGAATGTGTGCGCCAAGTGGTGTTTCTTACTTTTGTTCCTGTTCTATACACATGGCGCATAATGAAGCTGGAATCGTAGGAGTCACGAACCACAGCCAGATCACCGCCTCTTGTCTTGCAGTCAGCCCGAGCGCCGTTGAAGTCCTTCGCATCCGTGTGTTGGAACAGCCAGCACCGTCCACGGAATTCATAACTACCTGCACTGCAATGACCTTCGTTAAGCTGGTAAAAGTTTGTCTTTTCTAGGAGCAAACAGAGCAAATGGAACAAACACTACCACATTAGTGTATATCCTACTGTAAGAGCAGAAATTTTCGGTGGAGTTCTATTTTCGGTAACTTCGGTGCCGACATTTTTACCGAAAATAAAACGCACCGAACATGTCGGTACTGTACTAGTACACTTACCTGGAAAACGGGTTTACCGAAAATTTCCCTCCACCGAACCGGCGATTTAAAAGAATATCGAAAATATTACACCACCGGAAATTTCTGCTTTTACAGTATACAGTAGGACGTGTGACTAACGACCACCCCTTGGTGCCAGCAAAAGCGGTCTTTAGTAGCAGGTGGTCTTTAGTTAGAGGTTTGAACCGCGCAACCATATATGGATCCCATTATATAATACTTGGTCCGCGTCAGCGATATTGTCGCTTATCTTTCAGATTTGTTTATATGTCGCCAATGCTTACTTGGCAGCCCATTTCATCCCAATTTTGGTTAGCAAGTTAGTTTGCTAGTACCTGAAAGGTCTAGCTAGAGTTCGAATGGATTTCAGAGCAAAAGGTGGGCGATTCTGATTGATACAGGGCCGCATCAAAATAGATTATCTTTTTACGCTGTGCAGGCAAGAGCAGCGCAAGCCACAAGAAAGTAATCGGCTACTCGGAATCAGCTCCATTTTGCTGAACGGCCGAGATCGCTCACCTCAGGGATCGCTCATCAAGCTGAGATCGCAGCTCCCTTACCTCCAGCTCAACGCTCGGAGTATCCAGCGCATCGTGGAGATTTGCAAGTACTGTACGCGTCGTCGTCGCTCAAAATAAAATCTTGCAAAGAACGGCGTCTGATTTGAACCATAAAGGCTGTCGTGCTGCCCACGCGAAGTCCTATAGAGAAGGCGACCGTCACGATCGACTTCTCTTTAGAAAATAGCCAGGCAGCGGAGAGGAAGAGAGATGAGCTTACAAAAGCAAGAGAGTCGATCCCGAGCAAAAATACTTGTCGCCAGCGACGAGAGCAGCGACGAGGAGGACCGAAAAAAGTAGGAACCCTTCCTTGGACAATAAATTCCTCGCAGCTAGTTGTCATTCTATACCTTACCGTCCATCGTACCAAGTTTTATCACTTCAAGTGCACGTGTTCATGTCCAAAGTCTAAGTTCAATTGTCGAAAGATAAGCGACAATATTGCTGACGCGGACCAAGTATCATTATGTATATCAAAATGCAGCTAATACAATTCCCCAAGACTTGCGCAATGCCATTCTTATTTCAGGTCTTATTCTTATTTCAGGTCAAACAACACTTGGAGAGAAAGACAGAGATCTCTCTCTCTCTCTCTCTTTCTCTCTCCCTCTCTCTCTCTCTCTCCTCTCTCTCTCTCTCTCTCTCTCTCTCTCTCTCTCTCTCTCTCTCTCTCTCTCTCTCTCTCTCTCTCTCTCTCTCTCTCTCTCTCTCTCTCTTCCTCTTTGGATACCTGGAGCAGGACTGTGTAATATTATATTTTTTAAGCGTTCTTTCATTGGCAAACTGTTTTATATTTGCCTCGCACTGCAGTGGTTGTCTCTTTTCCAATATGGCATTGTGTTGTGCCGTTGCTGCATGCACATGTTATTGTTAATATGTTGCCTGGGTGAACCCATTGGCTTTCCTGCTTGTTTGTTTATTGGCCTCCGACAATGTGACATTTGCTATCGTTAATTGTACAGTTACTTTTTCTTCCTTTTGGCAGCTGTGTGATGCTCCAGCAATTTAGTGCGACTCCTGTGTCAGGATTCATTATTAGCTTTCGGATATCAGTGCTTCTGATACCTCCGGATAGGGATATCAGCGAACGCACTGCGCAGCCCATCTGCGCAGGTCAGCCTGGCCCATCTACGCGCGGCCGACAAGAAAACTCATGAACCCTTTCATTTTTTTGCAAAATAAATCGTGCGAAGAAGATGCACGGAATGGCTGAAAACTAGGCTGAGGAATAGTAGCATACAGAGACTCTCAAATAAATTCATGGTCCATCGCTTCTGACAATGGCAGCGAAGACATCAGGGAGCTGATTGCAGCAACTCTCTACCAAGCGCGACGCTGGTTACTCACCAGGGCAGGGCGCTTCCATCGCGCAAGAAATGGCCGCGAGCGAGAAATACAAGTCCGATTTTGGAACGATCCAACCAGGGAAATTCCTTGAAAATTGGCCTGAACACCTCTCATACTGGTGTTTCACGATGTGCAAACTTTCAGAGAAATCGACCGGGGAGAACGTGGTGAGTACGTGGGTCCTCGAGTATCGCGCATGATTTGAATGGTCGCGTAGACAGAAGAACAGTAATTTTACGACTCCCAGAGGTGCAAACAGACTGCGGCCATGTTTTCTCTGTCGGCCGCGATCACGTTAAAAAAATTGATGACGCAATGCATGCGCAGAGGCCTGCGCAGTGCGTTCGCTGACATCCCTACTCCGGACAAGAAAACGTGCCTACTAATGCTGAGTGCATTGTATTTGCATATACCATACAGCATATAAATTGGGAAATGGTGGATGTCAACATCACTGAACAACATCGCCCTCTCTATACTGCAATAGTTAGCTTCCCTGCCAAACTTTATGTCTAAAGCGGCACAATCATCCGTCTTGGAATTAAATTCTAAATATTATACTGAAATGCCATGCAAGACCGTACCAACGCCTTAATTCTTGGACGGGGCCTGAAGCGAAGGCAGATCAACAACGTAGCGGAAACAAGCTGTTACAAATTTGAAGATAGTAACCATAAATTTGCTTAATAACTAATGCAAATTTCATTAGAAACGTTTGGGCTTGTTTATGACTTAATTTTGTACAAGTACACCGAAGGATGTACCCAGAGTGCTTGACAGTGCTCAACACCACAAAGGCAGAGCGTAATACACTACAGAACAACAAGGACAATCAAGGCTTGTTTGCTGCTACTTTAAGTTTCATGCTTACGCAATCAAGTACATGTACAAGTACAGTCACTGTAATTAAAGAAATAAAAGGTCAGGTTTAGATCCCAAATAAACACGTTCATAACTTGGGAAGTAAAGTTACCATGTTAAAATTAGGGGTGAAACGAACATCGAATTTTGAATACGAACGAACTCTCACACTAACGAACGAACTCGAACGAACATTCTCCATTATTACAGGTATGTATTTCATGGATGAATTTGTTTTGAAGACAGTCTGTCAGTATAGGCGTTCTCTCTACTTGGCTGGCCACAGTTCAGTATTGATGGTGTGATGCTAAACAAACACTGTGATCATGCATGTAGATCTACATGTAAGCTAGCTCTAGAACCAGAGGCTAGAATCACTGAGAAAGTGAGAATGCTCAGTGACCGCATGATACACGTACACTGCCAGAACAGCAATATTTTTTTCATCGCGCCAGCCTGCGCTGAATCACAGGGTTTTGCACCTAGCTTACAAAAAAAGTCCATCACCATCGTCCGGACGAGAGTTTTTTCTCATCGCTAGCTCAGGTCGTCAGAGCAGGAGAATGGTACTTCTTGAGGTGGGTACGAAGATTGCTCGTCGTCGCGCTGCTGTGTGATAGAACCTTTTTGAAATTGAGAAAAGGACTTCGTCTTTCCCGACCACTTTATCAAATTCCACTCCAACTCCGGACCGCGATGAAAGGCTCGAACGTTTTGACATGATTGCAACGAGTGAACGTTTGCTTTCAGGAACAGATGTCACAAGGCAAGCGACTCGAATCCTTTCACTACGAATACAAATCTACCTCAAACGGAGACAAAGCCGTGAAAAAATTCAAGAAACTTTGTCCCGACGCTACACTCAACTCCTTCAACTTGCTTCAAGTGATCATCAAGGCAGACGCAGTCGATCAGCGTGCAAGCTCGCGATCTCCCAACCTCCGCGGCTTCTTCGTGATCTAGTCACAAGCGATCTTTATGCTTGCTTGCTGTGTTCGTTTATCAATCTTGCGATTTCGTTCGTTCGTTTTCAAATTTTTCGAACGAATGTTCGAACTTTCGTTCGTTCGTTTCACCCCTAGTTAAAATTGCTGACAATCTACAGAGTTGATAAAAGAGCAATCATAACAACACAATACAGGTAATCAAGGTGAAATACAAATGTAGTAAGACAGTGTGTATCAAGTGCCTGTGGTACATTTTTAGAGCATTGAATGTGTAGAAAAGTTTCTTTCGACTGCAACTGGAAAACAAACAACCATGAGCAAAATTATACAATAATTTTATAAAAGCTAAAAAAGAATGCATGGGCGATAACCGTTTGAGAATAATTGATGTACCAGCGCAGAGAGACGGCAAATATAAGAGTACAGTGCACGTGGAAAAACATGTAGCGCAAAGTGGTTGTCAGACGAACATTGCACATACAAATACAAAGCAACACCACACTAGTTCATTATGAAAATGAAAAAGAAGGGCAACAGCTATTCCGGGTGACTTTGCAGACTAGCCAGCCTCGATAATTTGAAAATCTGCGAGACCGCTACAAAGGGGGCAACAAACAAATCCAACAAAACTCTGACATACGCCCGCCCGATTCCCACAGACTCACTTTCCCCTTCTTAATGATAGCTTGCATAGCGTCCTACCGGTAGGACGCTGGAAATCACGCTGAGAAAATCTGAACGCTTGAGATATTTTTTTTTGAACTGGGTTGTTGTAATCTTTGGACTCCTTAGCAGTGGCGCAAGACGCGAGCACATGTTCTGCGCACTGCGCATGCGCAAATTTTCATTGTCAAAATGCCTACATTGATTCAGGTCGGAACGCGAGTAACTGTGCCAGCGACGACTTTTGATCATGGTTTTTACGCACACGATGAGGATCGATGGTCATTCTCCGCTTACGGAGACAGCTGGAGAAGTGCGGAGTGTTTGGGCACTGTTTTGAGTGTGACTTTTGATCGAGAACGATGCAGAATAAAGTGGGATTTGGACAGTACTACATCGATTGTAGCCGTTGCTGACGTTCGTGCAGCTGCAGAGTCCGACCCGTGCGACGACGGAG